TTCCATCAGTTCTATAATAAACTGTTAACATGAAATTTCAGTAGTGCCTTGTTTTGCCTCTTTAAACTATGATGTGTACAAACCTTCTTTTCAATGTAATGCATCTAAAGTTTTGATACCTGTCACTTTTTGTGGGGGTGGTTTGCAATTGTTTAAGAATCATGAATTTATTTTTTGTAACTCTATGGCTATTATCTTTGTGTATCCTGACAATGCGATGTGTGTCAGCCCATGTCAATCAAAATAAATAATTATTGAAATGCCAGACTTCTACATTTAATGTTTTGGAATTCAATGGGTAAAAAATGCTGCTTTGGGGATATTAAAAGAAAAAAAAAGAAAAGAAAATTGGTAGTATTTAGTATGAGGAGAGGTTTTTACCCAGCCATAATCTCTATTGATATGTGATATATTTTCATTCAGTATTATTAATATTTGGTATATTTCATACAAACATTGGAACTTTTACAATAATGACTAACTATACTTTTGCATCCAGAATTTTTGTTTAACATTTATCATGAGCACTTTCTTTACATTGAAAGCTTAAAAAATATGAGTTATCTTCCTAAAAAGTTAGTATACTGATTTCTGTATGTGTGCAGTTTTATCTCTACCATGTTTTGAAGTATTCTTATGTACTTATAAAGAAGTTGTAAAGAAAATACAAAATGAAGTTAGTTTTGGTTGTTTCTTACTGATGGGTTTCTATATTTTCCAACTTTTCTACATTGGTTATACATTTCTCCTGGAGGTTGAACTAGTAGTTTTTTAAGGGGAAGGATTAATGAAACCCAAACTAGATGAATCAACATGAAAACTGCTTTTTGGAAAAGACTATAGAAAACAGACAGTAGAAATTAAAGACTAAAGATAGGAAGTTCATGGTTAATAACGTAGCACTCATCTTGATGGGAATTGATCCTCTTTAAGTGACTGGAATAAGTAAAAATACCTTTCATTGATGTTTAAAATTTGGGACATTTTAAAAAATATTTTTTTATTGATTTTTGGAGAAAGAGAAAGGGAAAGGGAGAAAGAGATAGAAACATCTATGTGAGAGCAAACCATCAATTGGCTGCTTCATGCACGCCCCCTACTGGGAATCAAACCCACAACCTGGGCATGTGCCCTGACCTGAAATCGAACCAGTGATCTCTTGGTGCATGGCTTGACCCTCAATTCACCAGCCACACCAGCCAGCTAGGGAGTAAGTTTTTAAAAAATCTTCACCCGAGGATATTTTTCTATTTACCTTAAAATAGACTGGGAGGGAGGAAGGGAGAGAGGAAGAGAGGGAGGGAGGAAGGGAGGGAGAGAAAGAGAGAAACATCAATGTCAAAGAGACACATGGACTGGCTGCCTCCTACACGTGCCCTTGACCAGAATCAAATCCGTGACTCACTGGTCTGTGGGCCAACGCTTTAACCAATGAGCAAACCAGCTAGGGCAGGAGTGACTTTTAATAAGAGATTAGCATAAGTTTAAAAAACTCTTTGGTTTGAATCCTGGCTGCTTTAGCTTAGTGGTTAGAGCATCAGACTATGAACCAAAGGTTGCTGGTTCGATTCCCGGTCAAGGTTACGTACCTGGGTTGCAGGTTTGATACCTGCCCAGGTCATGGTCATGCGGGAGGCCACCAGTTGATGTGACTCACAGCAATGCTGTTGTTTTTTTTTCTCTCTCTCCCTCACCCCCTTCCTCTCTTTCTAAACATCAATGGAAAAAATATCCTTGGGTGAGGATGAACAAAAAAACAAAACAAAAAATCCTTTGGCCCAGCTGGTGTGGCTCAGTGGATTGAGCCTCATCCCATGGACTGAGAGGTCCTGGTTCGATTCCCAGTCAGGGCTCGAGCCCATGTGGAGGTGTGCAGGAGGCAGCCAATTGATGTGTCTCTCTCGTGTCAATGTTTCTATCTCTCTCTCCCTTCCTCTTTTTCTAAAAAATCAATTAAAAAAAGAAGAAAAAACAAAAACAAAAAAAAACAAATCCTTTGGTTTGTATTTTCTTATCTTCTCAAGGAGAAACTTTAAAGTTGATATCCTGTTCTATTTTATTTTCAAGAATGTAAATATTTTCTTATATTCCAGAATATAAAAACTTTCTCGCCCAGCTGGTGTGGCTCAGTGGTTGAACGTCGACCCATGCACTAAGAGGTCACCAGTTTGATTCCTGGTCAGGGCACATGCCCAGGTTGTGGGCCTGCAGAAGGCAGCCAATCGATGTTCTCTCTCATTGATGTTTCTGTCGCTCTCTCTCCCACCCCTTCCTCTCTCTTTAAAATCAATAAAGAATAAAGTATTTTTTAAAAAAGAAAAAAACTTACTTTCTCTTTCCTTTTCCTAAGCCACTGCTTCCTGCCTCTTCAGGAATCCGATTCTCTTTTTCAGAATCTTTAGGGGACAGTCTGAAGAATTCTCCAATTCCTTTTTGCCATTTGGGAGTTGGGCGCACACAGACTGGATTCCCTCTTGCATATTTACTTTCAGCTATAAAAGATAAACAGATGGAACTAAATAAGAACTAAGAACACAACAGCCATTTCTTAAAGGGAAACTTAATTTTTTTAACATCAAATCTAAAGGGTATTAAATGGGCCTGGCCAGTGTGGCTCAGTGGTTGAGCGTAGAACCATGTACCAAGAGGTCACTAGTTCGATTCCCGGTCAGGGCACATGCCCAGGTTGTGGGCCAAATCCCCAGTGGGGGCATGCAGGAGGCAGCCAATCAAAGTTCTCTCTCATCGATGTTTCTCTCCTTTCCCCTTCCTCTCTCTCTAAAATCAATAAAGAAAAAATTAAAAAATAAAAATAAAGCCCTGGTAGATTTGGTTCAGCGGTTGGAGCGTCAGCCCACAGACCAGAGTCCCAGGTTCAGTTCCCGCTATGGGCACGTACCTCAGTTGCAGTTTGTCCCCAGCCCCAGTTGGGGTCGTGGGGTGGCAACCAATTGATGTTTCTCTCTTTCTTCCCTTCTCTCTCCCTCCCGTTCTATCTGAAGATAAATGCAAAGAGTGTCCTCAGGTGAGGATAAAAAATAGTAATAAATAAATAAATAAAAAAATAAAAATAAAGGTTACTAAATGGTATCACATCCATCTTAAAATAAAGAATTGGAAAACATAACAAAATAAAGCTGTATTCAGTTAATAGTACATTATACAGTACTATAATATAATGTATAATAATACTTTATTATAATTATCCTTTAGCCTAGAAAAATAGCAGAGCTATTCAAATAGCCCTATAGCCCTGGCCAGTTTGGTTCAGCAGTTAGAGTGTCGACCCGTGGACCAGAGAGTCCCAGGTTCGGTTCCCACTAAGGGCACGTACCTCGGTTGCAGTTTGTCCCAAGCCCCGGTTGGGGTTGCGTGGGTGGCAACCAATCGATGTGTCTCTCTCACATCGATGTTTCTCTCCACCCCCCTCCCGTGCTATCTGAAGATAAATGCAAAAATGTCCTAGGGTGAGGATAAATAAATAATAGAACAAATAGCCCTATATACTGTCATAATACAGTGTGACACACCTTTACCTAATATAAGGTAGCACACTGTGTAGCATAAACTGCCAAATTTTTAACAAATTTTATGATTTATTGATCGATTTTAGAGAGGACAGGGAAAGAAGGGGGAGGGTGGGAGGGGGAGAAGGGGGGGGAGAGAGAGAGGGGGAGAGAGAGAAATAGTGATTTATTTTTCCACCCATCCATGTATTCATTGGTTGATTCCTGTATGTGCCCTGACCTGCAACCTTGGTGTATCAGGGAGGAGCTGTAACCAACTGAGCAACCTGGTCAGGGCTAAACTGCCAAGTTTTTATTTAATAAAGTCATTTAGTTAAAGCACATAGAGAAGGCTAAATAAGTAGTCTACAGCAGTGAACATTTCCACATAAATACGTTCCACTTTTCAAAGCAGTTGGCTCCTTTTCAGTTCATAAGGTAAATCCAATTCCTGATTATTTTAAAACAGTACTATAAAGGGAAAATTTCTTTCCTTTTTTCAAAGTAATGAATAGAATAGCAAGAGGAGCAAATTATTAAGTGACTACATATATCCTTTGCTTTAAACACATTTTTCACAAACTCTAGCTGTTAAAAAAAAAACTGATAAAAGTACTTCTATATACACTGAATTTGTATTGCTTGTACTTTTTTAAAAGTACAAGTTGTCCAGCAGGTGTGGCTCAGTGGTTGAATGTCGACCCATGCACCAAGAGGTCGCCGGTTTGATTCCTGGTCAGGACACATGCCCAGGCTATGGGCCTGATCCCCAGTGGGGGCATGCAGAAGGCAGCCAATCCATGTTCTCTCTCATCGATGTTTCTATCTCTCTCTCTCTTTCTCACTTTCTCTCTCTAAAATCAATTTAAAAAAATTAAAAAAAGAAAGTACAAATGGCCCAGCCGGTGTAGTTCAGTAGTTAAACATCAACCCATGCACAGAAGGTCAGTGGTTTGATTCCCGATCCAGGCACTTGCCCAGGTTGTGGGCCAAATCCCCAGTGAGGGGCTTGCAAGAGGTGGCCACGGGATGTTCTCTCTCAACGATGTTTTAGCCCCTGTGAAGGTAACCGATCAGTGTCTCTATCACATCAGTGTTTCTCTCTCTCCCCATCCCTCACTCCCTTCCACTTAAAAATTAATGGAAAAATATCCTCAGGTGAGGATTAACAATAACAAAAAAGCCATTTGTCAATATTAAAAATAAAAACGCTAACCCAGAAAAAATAAGTTTTAAGATAAATTGCCAGGCATGAGATTATTTTCCATAAGACCCCACGACTGCACCAGCTTGCCAAGAGGCCAAAGCTCCCTCATTGTATCACATGGCAAGGAAGAAATTCGGACATGAAGAATTAATCAGAAAAATTAATTCCATGATGGGTCAGGGTGCTGTCAGGTCAGGAGAAATGTGGTGCCAAGGGGAGAATTGTGGTGCCAAGCCTGATCCCATTTTGAGAGGGTTCCTTCAAGAGCTTGCAGGGGTGCTCTTTACCTTTCCTCGATGAAGGCGACGTGGAATTAGTAGCAGAGGTGGAGGAACCAAGCACCTTCCTGGGGGCCCGAGAAGCCACCACTGCAAAAAGAGGCAAAGGAGGGCATTTAGATGGGGGCAGTAAGGTTCTGATACCGAGTCTCGGAGCCACATTCTCACCACAGTCCCTGACCCAAGCTTCTGGAGAACCCCAAGACCCAAAACAGCAGATCAACCTCCCCTGCCGCCTCTACTTCTTCCACTTGTTTAAGGGATTTGGCAGCTGCTTCCCGGTCTGCAGCATCCACGGCCTCCGCCTCGCCCCCTCCCCCACCTCTTCCACTAGCGGCGAGAGCTGAGGAACACACCCTGCCCCCACTGCCTTGCTCAACTGCCTCACCTTTTCTATAGGTGCCTGGGACACTGCCTGCTTTAGTCCGCACCATGTTCGAATGCGAGGTGATGAGAACAACCAACTGACTTTCCAGCAAAAGGTATTTCACTGGACAAGAATAGGAAAACGAATCTCCCGGCACAGTTTATACTGGACTCTTTCCCGCGCGCTCCACGGACTCTCCCCATTGGTTCCGCGCCCTCTTTCCATTGGTTCCGCGCCGTCCCCCACAACCAATTACCAGTGTCCAGTGAGACAGCGCAGGTTCTTGGCACAGTGCTGACGCGTCCATCAATTCGCAGAAGCTTGTGATTCGTACCGCCTCAGATGGGCGGTGCCGGGGTGCTTTCCCCGAGTGGTCCGTGTGCGGGTTTTCAGATTTTGAACTAGGTGGGAAAAGAAAAAAGACATTTTGAACCAGGGAAATGGTCCTGCTCCGAAAAGAAAACCCAGCAAAGAAAGAGAATTTGACCATTTGTTCAAAAGTCACCTAAGGGTTAAATCCATCGTAATTGACTTCTGGAAGTGAAAACTGAAATGAAGCGGACTTTATCATGCTAATAAAAATAAATAGAATTTTAATAGCTCGGGCAGGATCTCTCTTAAGACGTCCCTAACTAAAACAATTCTACTGAATGGGAGAAAAGGAAGCTAATACAATTTATTTATAGGGCTTTTTTATGTTGTTGGGATGGTGTGAAACTAAGGGAACATACATAGAGAAAAAAATTTCATAAAACCTCTTCTAGACCTGTATAGTCTCAGGTCTAGACCTGTGTAGTCTCTTAAAAATATGCCACATGTGCTAAGGGTGCATCTCTGGCAGACAGTAAGCATAACTCTAAAATAGGAACTCATAACTATTTTCTATCCCTGTGCCTGTTTCTAATTAGTCACGATACCCCGGGGGGAAGTGATTTTCACTCTCTGAATACCGTGCATAAAACATCAGATGAGCTTACCTTGGGATTTTGTTAAATGTTCACTTGAATAGCAACCCTGAAAATTTAAGCCCCACATTGATTTTCTCCAATAAACTGTGTTTGAACTTTCAGAACTTTTTAGTGTTTTAACAGAATCAACAACTACTTTGAGTTTTAGAATTAAAGAAGCTAGACAACAGGTGAAATTAGCATTAAAATAGCAGGAAATGTATTAGAAATTACTTTGTCTAAACCTTGTATTCTAAGATTACAACCAAATTCCTATCAGAAAAATCAACAAGCCCCAGGGTATATTCTTTTGTTATTTGTCATCATGCCTCTCTCAATACACAATGGTTCTGCAGTACATTATTTTCTTTTCAGTTAAAGTGGCTTCTACAAAGACCTGAATTACTTAATTTGAACTCATATCCCAGATCCCTGCAGAAATTAGAACTGTATAGAAAATCTGCTGTGTGTTTTATCCTAGTCCACTTGTCAAGTAAACTGCTACAAAGAAGTACAAATATACTTTTGCACACAAGGATGGTCTGCATATTACTACAGCTGTGTTTGTATGGATATTTGTCTTTTTAATACCAATTATGATAGGGAAGGAGACATGTTAGAGTAAAACAAGTAGGAAAAAAGCAGTGATGCCTAGTAAAAATTCTAATTTAAATGCTTGCTTTGAGGAAGTGCTTCTCCTTTGCAGTTAAATAAAACACAGAGAGTTCAGGGTGTGACTCTTAAAAATTCCAAAGGCCTAGGACATTAAGAAAAATTGTAGGCACTGGTCAGTTTTCTCAGTGGTTAGAGCGTTGGCCTGGGGACCAGAGAGTCCCGGGTTCGGTTCCCTCTAAAAGCACTTACCTTGGTTGCAGTTTGTCCCTGGCCCTGGTTGGGGTCGTCTGGGTGGCAGCCACTCACTGTGTGTCTCTCACATCGATATCTCTTTCTCTCTTCCCTGTCCCCCTCTCCCTCCCACTCCCACTCTATCAGAAGGTAAATGCAAAAATGTCCTCGGGTGAGGAGGATAACAAAATAAAATGAGGACAAGTAGCTTCTTAGTCTGTTGAGTTGTTCTTAGGCTGACATAAATTATAAAAAAAAGAAAAAGAAAAATTGTAGTATGTATAATTAAAATTTCTGGTGAAGTTTATACGAAAGAATATCTTTAAATCATGTTAAATAGGTGTGCTTGCTTTGCTCAGGCAGAAATGCTAGTAAATGGCATTACATTATATTACATTCTTTTTCTTTTTCTTTTTTTTGTTCAGATAGAGTGGGAGGGAGAGAGAGAAACATTGATGTCAAAGGGACACATTGAGTAGTTGCCACCCACACAACCCAACCAGGGCCAGGGACAAACTGCAACTGAGGTACGTGCCCTTAGCAGGAACAGAACCCGGGCCTCTCTGGACCACAGGCCAACACTCTAACCACTGAGCCAAACTGGCCAGGGCTTTTCTTTACAAACTAGAGATTACAAATCTTAACATGCCTTATGAAAATAAGAACACTTTTATTCTTAAAGACCTAGTAATTTCATCATAATATGTATGATGTATTGTCTTATTTTAAATAAAACTGAAGTCATAGTCTCTGTCTTTAAGAAGTTAACATTTTAAGAAACATTTGTAGCCCTGGCCGGTTTGGCTCAGCGGTTAGAGCGTCGGCCTGCGGTCCCGAGAGACCCGGTTCGGTTCCCGCTAAGGGCATGTACCTCGGTTGCGGTTTGTCCCCGGCCCTGGTTGGTTGTGCGGGTGGCAGCCACTCGATGTGTCCCTTTCACATCGATGTTTCTCTCTCTCTTCCTCTCTCCCCCTCCCATTCTACCTGAACAAAAAATAGAAAAATGTCCTCAGGTGAGGATAAAAAAAAAAAAAAAAAGAAACATTTGTAACAAAAATTAATTAATAAAAAAATAGAATAAAATAAAATGATATTAAACATTAAAAAAAGAAGTTAACATTTTAGTTGTGGGGACTGAACAAGTAAAGAAACAGCTAAACTTTTTGGATATCTTATAATTAGTATCAAATGTAGAGGATTTTTAATGAAGAAACAAAACCCACTAACAATGAACATTTTTAAGCTAGAAAATCATGTTTTCCAAATTAATAACAAAGACAATCTAAACTCAGTGTAAATAAATACACATATGATTTTGATTATGTCAATGAAAACATTAGCCTAAGAAGATGAAACAGCATACAATAATGTAATTACTTAGTCTAAATAGCCTAATGGGAATGAAGAACCTATATATGTAAAACAAAGCCAGCCAATCACATTTATTGATTAAATATATCAGAAGACATTACTATGCTGGCTAAATTAAAAGTCTGGCTAGCCCTGGCCGGTTTGGCTCAGCGGTTAGAGCGTCGGCCTGCGGTCCGGAGAGACCCGGGTTCGGTTCCCGCTAAGGGCACGTACCTCGGTTGCAGTTTGTCCCCGGCCCTGGCTGGTTGTGCGGGTGGCAGCCACTCGATGTGTCCCTTCACGTCGATGTTTCTCTCTCTCTCTCCTTCCTCTCTCCCTCCCACTCTATCTGTACAAAAAAAAAATGGAAAAAATATCCTCGGGTGAGGATAAAAAAAAAAAATAAAAATAAAAAAAAAATAAAAGTCTGGCTAAATTTTCCTCAGTCTACAGTGCACTAAGGAATAGCAACAAACCTTTAAATCTGGTCATCTAGGGTTGAAATACATACCTTCAACTTCTTTTCTTTTATTTTTTTATCCTCACCCGAGGACATTTTTGCATTCATCTTCAGATAGAGCAGGAGGGAGAGAGGGAGGAAGAGATAGGGAGAAACATCAGTGTGAGAGAGACACATAGATTGGGTGGGGCCGGGGACAAACCGCAACCTAGGTTTGCGCCCTTAGTGGGAGGGAAGGAACCCGGGTCTCTGGTCAGAGGGCCCACACTCTAACCTCTGAGCCGGTTGGCCAGGGATTCTTTTTTTTTTTAAACACCAAATTTTCTTTATTGATTTTTTAGAGAGAGGAAGGCAGAGGGAGAGAGAGATAGAAACATGATTGGCTGCCTCCCGTATTCCCCCCACTGGGGATCAGGCCCACAACCTGAGCATGTGCCCTGACAGGAATCAAACCGGGGACCTCTTGGTGCATGGCGTGGACACTCAACCACTGAGCCACAGAGGCTGGCTAGTCAACTTCTTAAAAATCACTAGTGAATTGATGTGGAAGATCTTCAAAGCCAAATCCCAACACCTGATTTATTAAAGTTTTTCTCCATGGAGCTTGCTGAATTAGTTATCTTGGCCCTTGTGGGAAAGACCTGGCTCAAAAAATTAAATAGAAAGAGACTTTAGCAGCGTGAATCTAGTATGAAACTACGAAGGGGGTAGGGTGAGGGGGGCTCATTAATACAACCACTACCACTAGAGCAAACCCTTACAGTGCTTAGCTTCCCAGTATTATTTTACATAAAACAATTAAAATTGGACCTTCCAAATAAAATAAAACAAAATTGGCCCTTCAGGTTATGGGTTATAGTTTTGTTTTTCCTAAACGGTAGTTTTTACAGGTATTTGTACAGCCTTCTCAACAGAATTCTGAACGCGGAGTTCTCCATCTAACCGTGCGGAAGAACCACGAGCAGAAGCTCTTATGTGAATGTAAATACGTCACCAAGCGGGAAGTAGGGGGAGCCAGCACAGGTGGGCGGGATCTGTGCTGAGGGCGTCGCTGCGGCGCCGGCGGTGCAGCCTGGCGGAACCCGCGCAAGCGAAGTCGGTGTTGCGAAGGGAACTAGTCCGGTGCAGGACTCGAGGCTTTCTCAACCCAGCTGGTTCCGGCTGGGGAAAATGGCGGTGGCTGGGGCGGCGTCCCGGGGGCAGCTGGTGGGCTGGTGTACCCAGCAGTTGCGGAAAACTTTTGGCCTGGATGTCAGCGAGGAGATCATGCAGTAAGACCAGTTCGGTTCCGAGGCGGGAAGGAGCTCTGTGGTGTGAACTGGCTGAGAGAATCGGGAAGCGGGGAGGACTAAAAAGTTGATGAGAATGAAGTAATGTGATGAGACGACTGTTATTAATCTCTAGGTGCCGAATTTTGACCTTCGCTTTTATAGTTTAGTTTCTGGAATAGGGTGAAAGGCTTCAAAATCGGCGGATGGGGCCTTTTTTTTTTTTTTTCCCCTAGGAAAACGCCAAATCCCTGTAATTAGAATTTGTAAGACTGCCCCGGGAGCCAGTTTCCTTATAGATTCTGGAGGGAAAGGAGAAGCTAAATTGTTTTTCCAGAAATTCCTTGCTCTGAACGTTTTAGTTTGCCCAATCTGGGTTATGTCGAACAGGACCTAGAATTTTTTTTTATTTTTTATTATCCTCACCCGAAGACACTTCCATTTATTGTTCAGATAGAGTAGGAAGGAGAGAGAGAGAGAAACATCGTTGTGAAAGGGACACATCGAGTGGCCGCAACCCTACCAGGGCCAGGGACAAACTGCAACCGAGGTACATGCCCCTAGCTGAACCGAACCCGGGTCTCTCCAGACCACAGGCCAACGCTCTAACCGCTGAGCCAAACCGGCCAGGGCAGGACCTAGAATTTAAATGGGGGCGGTGCAAATAGCTCCTGGCTCAGGAGTCCCAGGTTCTATTTTTCCTGTTGTCATTTACTAGTTTTGGAACCTTGGGCAATTTAATTTCCCTCTCTCTCTGTACCTTAGTTTCTTCATCTTTAAACTAAATAGTAGAGCTTATCTTATAGTAGGTGATTTTTATGAAATGGAGATGGTGACATGATTTAATGTCTGCTTTCGGTTCATTTCTTTAACAAATATTTGTTGCACCACTTCCATACAGGTGCTGGTGCAACAAAGAAAATTGCTACACTTGGGTTTTGCCTAGCTGATGAGTCCTGAGGTGGAGGAGGTTCACGGTGTTGTGGGAGCAAGGAGTAAAGGACTCTTTAAGATTTGAGAAACTGCAAGGTTTACTGCAAAAGATGACTTTCACTTGAGAACTAAAGATGGCTAGGTGGAGGTGCAATGTTCAGTCATGAGGGAAAAACTTCCGCAAAGATTGGTCTTTATCAAGGAACCTGTAAGTGTTTCTCTATTTGATTCCTCCTTGTTTGTTGATGCTGAAACCAGCATTACAATTCTAGGGCTTTTGTAGGAAATAAGGTGAGTTCCCGAGTTGGGGAATAAATAGACTTGTTGGCAAGGAGAGAGTTAAGAAAGCCTGTATCAAGGATTTTTTTTTTTGGAATATTGGAATAGACTTATCAAAAAACCCAGCCAAAAAACTAAATAAAACAAAAAGTTTGTTTGTAGACAAGATCAGGTTAAGTCGTTTTTAAGCATGTTTTAAAGCAGTGGAGTGCTGTCAAATGAAATAATGAGACTTTTTTTTTTTTTTGGTAGCATACCAAACCAAAAAAACTCATGCAATTAAAAATAACTTGAGGCTACTTAAAAAATTTTTTTTTTCCTTTATTGATTTTGAGGGAGAGGGAGAGAGAGATAGAAACATCAATGAGATAGAACATCGATTGGCCCCCTCCTTCATGCCTCCCACTGAGGATTGGGCCCAGAACCTGGGCATGTGCCCTGACCGGGAATTGAACCGGTGACCTCTTGGTGCATGGGTCAGTGCTCAACTGCTGAGCCACACTGGCCGGGCGAGGCTGTTTTTGAAGGATGAACAATGGAGTATGGATTGGTACAGTCTTCTCAGTCTCCAAATCCAATTTTGTCTCCTCATGCTGTATGAGGAAAATTTTAATTCTCATAGAATGTGGTTTAAAAACTTGTTTTGCAGGCCTGGCTGGTTAGCTCAGTTGGTTAGAGCATCCTTTCGATATGCCTGGTTGGGGCACATATAAGAAGCAACCAGTGGCCCTGGCCAGTGTGGCTCAGTTGGTTGAGTGTCCTACTATGCTCCTAAAGGTCACCAGTTCAGTTCCCACTGGGCACATGCCCAGGTTGCAAATTCAGTCCCCAGTTGGGGTGTGCTGGAAGGAACCGATCCTCTTTCACATCAATGTTTTTCTCTCTTTTTCCTTCCCCTTCCTTTCTCTCTAAAATTATTAAAAACATTTTTTTTTTAAAAGAAGCAACCAGTGAATGCATAAATAAGTGGAACAACAAATTGATGTTTCTCTCCCTTCCTCTCTCTAAAAATCAATAAAAATTTTTTAAAAAACTGAAATTCTTGCTGATAAATATATGAATATATGTATATATTTTTGGTATGTGCCCCTAGCGGGAACCGAACCCAGGAGTCTCTGGACCGAAGGCCGACACTTCAAACGCTGAGCCAAACCAGCCAGGGCTAAATATATTTTTTAAGCTTATTTTGCAGTCTGAGATTTTCCTTTGTCAACTTATCCACATGCTTGAAAGAGGAGTGATCAGAAATTTGTTTTAAAGTTGAAGCACTATGTCTAAATACCTGCTTGCATTTTTTAAAATTCATAAATATAAGTAGACAAGAAGTATTTAGAACTTAAAATAAGCCCTAAAGCTACCTATAATATAAGGCTATTTGAACTACTTATTAGGTTTTTACTAGTTATCGCACAACAGGCTGTGATGCCATGAAAGCATTTGCTGTGTAAATTGCTGTGCCATGCCTGGTATTTGAGAATTACTCAGATGTACTATAATAGTTTGGTAACTTGAATTATTTGACTTGAATGGCCTGAATATTTTTAAAAGACAGCACACAACTGGCCGATGTGGCTCAGTGGTTGAGCGTTGACCCATGCACCAAGAGGTCGCCGGTTTGATTCCCAGTCAGGACACATGCCTGGGTTGAGGGCCCGATCCCCAGTGTGGGGCATGCAGGAGCCGCGGATCGATGTTCTCTCTATTCAATGTTTCTATCTCTCTCTCTCTCTCTCTCTTCCTCTCTCTCTAAAATCAATAAAGGAAAAATAAATAAAAGCTAGGAAAAAAAAAGCACAGAACTCTTATTCTGATGTGATGCTAATCTTTATCATTTTTAAGAATGTTAAATCAATAATTGGTTAGAGTTTAGTTTATATTTTTAGCAAAAATGAAGATGAATTTTAGGTTTTGTAATATAGAGATTAGGTAATTTGTATTATTCTTAGGAAAATATAATGGTTATAGTTATAGAAAGTATGTGGTTATAGAAAGTATTCTGTAATTATAGGAAGTATTCTGCCAACTGTATTTTATTTTATTTTTTTTATTTATTTATTTTTTATATGAATTTTTATTTATTTTTTTGTTACAGATATTTTACCTTTTTACCCCATTGGCACCCCCTACCCCGTGCCAACTATATTTTAATAACAATAAGAAAAGATAGTATTCCTGTATTAAGGGTAGCCCCACTAACCTATCTTCAAAACACTGATTTGGCCTGGCTGGTATGGCTCAGTGATTGAGCGTTGACCTATGCACCAAGAGATTGCCAGTTCAATTTTCGGTCAGGGCACATGCCCAGATTGTGGGCCAGATCCCCAGTGGGGGGCATGCAGGAGGCGGCCAATCCATGTTCTCTCTCATCGATATTTCTCTCTCTCCCTCTCTCTTCCTGTCTCTCTAAAATCAGTAAAGAAAAAAAAACAACAACAACACTGATTTGGTTTTAGAAATACAAGAAGGTTGTGCCCTGGCCGGTTTGGCTCAGCGGTTAGAGCGTTGGCCTGCGGACCAGAGAGTCCCGGGTTCGGTTTCTGCTAGGGGCACATACCAAAAAAAAAAGAAATACAAGAAGGTTGTGAAGATTAGATTATGAACTGCTTGAAGTCAGGGTCTTTGTCCTAATCAAATTTATATCCCTAGTGTCTAAGGTAAAACTTGACTTAAAGTAAAACACTCTAATGGATTAAGTAATGGTTTTTACTATCTTGATCTCTGTTATGATTATTGAAAAACATAGTGTAAGCTAGCCTTGTTTCAACAACTTATATCTTTACTTCCTGAGGTATGTTTTGTCAATTGAGAGTCCTGAAGAGATACGCGAATATGTTACTGACCTCCTTCAGGGAAATGAGGGGGAAAAAGGTCAATTCATAGAAGAGCTTATAAACAAGTGGCAAAAGAATGATCAGGAGTTGACTTCTGATGCTCTGCAGAAGTCCTTCAAAAAGGATGGTGAGTTAAGTTAATGTAATTAAGTAAAATGTTGAAATATTGGTAAATGGGCTGGTTTATAGAACTTGGTATTTTTTTGTTACTCTGTATTTCCTCACAGCTATCTTAAGCAGAGCCATACACACACACACACACACACACACACACATTTTTAATTTAATTCTTCTCAATCTGTGATGAATATTGTTCAGACTTTTTCAACTTAGAAAATATCACAAAAATACTGTTTGTAGATATAAATGTGACTTTAGAATAATTTGAAAAATGTATACATGGATTAAAGAAATACTTTTCAGTTATGTGCATACCTGGATGAGGGAAAACGTTGACCAATTTTAGTATCATAGCATTTGGAAGTTATTATTTAAACAGTACAAAGATGAGCACCAAACTAAATAATCTAAGTCATTATTATTATACAATCTAAAGTATCAGATTTTAATATAACTTCTTAATCCTAGCTAGTAGTCTTTATCATTGACTACAGTCTAGAAAATGATGGTTTAAATCTAATTATTATTTGAAAGAAAATGAAAATTTAAAAACCTGCCAGACTTCATATCTTGATTTTAAATATTAAGCATTACCCCTGCAGGGTTGCTCAGTTGGTTAGAGCGTCATCCCCACATACAGGTTCAATCCTCCAAGTAACAACAAATGAATGCATAAATAAGTGGAACACCAAATCAATGTCTGTCTCTCTCCTTCCCCTCCCCCCCAAGTAAATCAATCAATAAAAAAATTAAATAAGCATCACCTTCTCTTTGCTAGCTATTAGTTCACCAATAATTCTATTATCAAACTATCTATGTGTGTGTGTGTATATATATATATTTTTTCTTTTTTTCTTCTTTAAAGAAATGTTCGATGGGCAGAGATCAGGAGACCAGCTAAAGAGGAGTAGGCGGAAAGGGAGAAACAGACAGGAAGTTCCTGCATTTGCTGAACCTGACACAACCATAGAGGTCAAAACACCTTTTGATTTGGCCAAGGTAAGTGCCAATTTTTTGAAAATGAAATTTTTTCTGGATATATGGAGAAGAGGAAATGACTGTACAAAGTATACACATTGGTCTAGAATGGCAGTATTCCAACAAATACATGAATTTTATGAAGAGAAAGTGATAATTACTTTCTATATGGTAGTTTTTTTGGCCACCTGATTAAATAAGTATTACAAGTACATCTTTACTTAGGGATTGAGATTGGGGTTATATCTATATATATGATGCAAAATGTTTAATTAAGTAAGTGCACTAGGACTTCAATTTCAACATTTTTTGGTGGTTTTTTTCCTTTCTTTTTTTATCCTCACCCGAGGACATTTTTCCATTTTTTGTTCAGATATAGTAGGAGGGAAAGAGGAAGAGAGAGAGAGAGAAACATCGATGTGAAAGGGACACATGGAGTGGCTGCCTCCCGCACGACCCAACCAGGGCCGGGGACAAACCACAACTGAGGTACGTGCCCTTAGCGGGAACCAAACCTGGGTCTCTCTAGACTGCAGGCCGATGCTCTAACCGCTGAGCCAAACCAGCCAGGGCTTTTGGTGGGTTTATACTAAAAGAATGTATAGTTCTAGCTGTTATTAACAGTGTTCTCTTTTGGGCTGTCCACCACAACCACCACTATCATAATCGTCATTTAACTTTTAGAGCTTTTTTGTATTCTCTCTTTCCAATCAAATTAGGCCTGTGAGGTAAACAGAAATATTTATAATGAAGACAATTTGACCAGCTAAATTTTCCAATGTAAGGGAAAAGTTAATTATGCCAAAAGGAAGAGTAGTGATCAGAAAATTCTGAGTGTGATGATTATGCAAAAAAAGTACAAAATGTTTACAAAATATTGTTAAGTTAAAGGAGAAAAATAGAAATTTAAGTCTTTATTGGTCAGAATAAAATGAGGAAAGACCACAAGCAAAAGAAAAAATACAAATGACCAATAAATATACAAAGATGTCTATCTTGCCCTGGCCAGTTTGGCTCAGTGGTTAGAGCGTTGGCCTGCGGACCAGAGAGTCCTGGTTCTGTTCCCGTTAAGGGCACGTATCTTGGTTGCAGTTTGTCCCCAGCCCCGTTTGGGGTCGTGTGGGTGTCAGCCACTTGATGTGTCTTTTTCGCATCATTGTTTCTCTCTCTCTCTTCCTCCCTCTCTCCCTCCTGCTCTTTCTGAAGATAAATGCAAAAAAAAAAAAAAAATTGTCCTTGGGTGAGGATAAAAAAAAAAAATAGAAGTCTAACTTACTAGTAATTAAGACCAATTCGTCACCCTAATTGCCTGGGACTTTCCCTGTTTTAGCATTGAAAGTCCCATATTCTGGGATTCCCCAAGTCCCAGGCAAACCAGAATGATTGGTTATTGTACTACTAACCAAATAAATACACATTAAATTCCTGAGATATTGCCTATCAAATTGTCAAAGATTTTATTTTATTTATTTTATTTTTTTGCATTTTATCATCAGATAGAGTGGGAGAGAGAAAGGGAGGAAAAGAGAGAGAGAAATATCAATGCAGGAGAGACACATCGACTGGTTGCCACCCACACAACCTCAACTAGGGCCAGGATGAACCGATGTACATGCCCTTAGTGGGAACCAAACCCAGGCCTCTCTGGTCCGTGGGCCATTGTTCTAACTGCTGAGCCAAACTGGCTGGAGCTTGTAATTTTTCATATAATTTTTCTTTATTGATTTGAGAGAGAGAGGAAGGGAGAGAGAGAGAGAGACACTGATGAGAGAGAACATGGACTGGCTGCCTCCTGCATGCTCCCCACTGGGGACCAGGCCAACAACCTTAGCATGTGCCCTGACCGGTAATCGAACCAGTGACCTCTTGGTGCATGGGTCAATGTTCAAGCACTGAACCACACCAGCTAGGTGTCGAAGATTTTAAAAATAGAATACTCATGATGGAGTGTTAAAACAGGAACCTCTTGCCCTGGCCAGTTTGGCTCAGCGGTTAGAGCATCAACCTGTGGACCAATGAGTCGCAGGGTTCAGTTCTGATCAGGGCATGTACCTCGGTTGCGTTTCATCCCTGGCCCTGGTCGGGTCATGCAGGAGGCAGCCAGTCGATGTGGCTTTATCATGTTGATGTTTTTTTCTCTCTCTCTCTCTCTCTGTCTCCCTCTCCCTCCTTCTCCCTCCCTCCCTCCCTCTCTATCTGATGATAAATGGAAAAATATCCTCGGGTGAGGAATAAAAATAAATAAATTAAAAAGTATAGGCGCCCTGGCCGGTTTGGCTCAGCGGTTAGAGCGTCGGCCTGCGGTCCAGAGAGACCCGGGTTCAGTTCCCGCTAAGGGCATGTACCTTGGCTGCAGTTTGTCCCCGGGCCTGGTTGGTTCGTGTGGGTGGCGGCCACTCGATGTGTCCCTTTCACGTCGATGTTTCTCTCTCTTCCTCTCTCTCCTTCCCGATCTATCTGAGTAAAAAATGGAAAAATGTCCTCGGGTGAGGATAAAAAAAAAAAAAAAAAGTATAGGCTAAAAACTTATGTTCTGTACAATGTTATTTATAATATTGAAAATTTGAATTGACCTGATTGTTTAGCCATAAGAGAAAGATTAAATAAATTATGCTTTCCTCATTTGATGGGATATAATGAAGCTAACAAAATTATTCTTCAGTACATAGAATTTGGGAAAATGTTCGTCACATTTAAGTTTGTAACCATCTGAACATTATTTTGAGTATTTATTTTACTCTTACCAATAAAAATACTTGTTTTTTATTTTATTTATTTTTTATTTTTTTTTTAATCTTTATTGTTGCATGTAGAATGTATTACAGATGTTCCACATTTTTTCCCCCATTGACTCCCTCCTCCCCTCTCCTGCCTCCCTCCCGCCTTTTCCCACACTATTGTCTGTGTCCATTGGTTATGCATATAAGTTCTTTGGTTTATTTCTTCCCACCACCCCCAGCCCCTTTCCCTTTGAGGTTTGTCAGTTTAGCAACCAATTTCTACTTCTTAATCCCTTCACCCTTTTCACCCATTCCCCCAAACCCCCTCCCATCTGGCAACCAACAAAATGTTCTCTGTATCTATGAGAATGTTTCTGTTCTATCTGTTCATTTTGTTTGTAGATTCCATTGTTGATAGATACGTATTCATTGCCGTTTTGTTTGTTCATATATTTTATCTTTTTCTTCAAAAAGACCCTTCATCATTTCATATAATAACAGTTTGGTGGTGATGAACTCCTTTAGCTTTTTCTTGTCTGGGAAAGTCTTTTTTTTTTTTTATCCTCACCCGAGGGTATTTTTCCATTTTTTGTACAGATAGAGTGGGAGGGAGAGAGAGAGAGAAACATCGACGTGAAGGGACACATCGAGTGGCTGCCACCCGCACGACCAACCAGGGCCGGGGACAAACTGCAACCGAAGTACGTGCCCTTAGCGGGAACCGAACCCGGGTCTCTCCGGACCGCAGGCCGACGCTCTAACCGCTGAGCCAAACTGGCCAGGGCTGGGAAAGTCTTTATATGGCCATCGATTCTAAATGACAGCTTTGCAGGATAGAGTAATCCTGGTTGTAGGGTCTTGCTTTTCATCACTCTGAATATTTCTTGCCACTCCCTTCTGGCCTGCAAAGTTTCTTTTGAGAAATTAGCTGACAGCCTTATGGGAACTCCCTTGTAGGTAACTAGCTGCCTTTCTCTTGCTGCTTTTAAGATTCTCTCTTTGTCTTGAACCTTTTGCATTTTGATGATGATGTGTCTTGGTGTGGGCCTGTTGGGGTTCATCTTGTTTGGGACTCTCTGTGCTTCCTGGACTTGTATGTCTGTTTCCTTCACCAAGTTAGGAAAGTTTTCTGCCATTATTGTTTCAAACAGGTTTTCGATTTCTTGTTCTCTCTCTTCTCCTTCCGGCACCCCCAAGATGCGAATGTTGGCATGCTTGAGGTTGTCCCAGAGGCTCTTTACACTCTCCTCATTTTTTTGGATTCTTTTTTCTTTTTGCTGTTCTGATTGGGCGTTTTTTGCTTCATTATATTCCAAATCGATGGTTTCCTTCTTGGATTTACGTACTCTATTATTGAAGCTGTGTAAATTATTCTTTATTTCAGTTAAAGCCTCCTTCGTTTCTAACTGTGCATCCATCATTTCTGGATGGTCCTTTTTAATGCTCTTGAGGCCCTCACTGAGTTCATTGAGCATCCTTATAAGCAGTATTTTGAACTCAGCATCTGTTAGGTTGCTTATCTCCATTTCGCTTAGTTCTTTTCCTGGGGTTTTGTTCTGTTCTTTCATTTGGGACCTGTTTCTTTGTCTCCTCATTTTGGCTGCCTCCCTGTGTTTGTTTCTGTGTATTACTTAACGAGCGGTATGGGGCTAGCTGAGACCAGATGCTGCTCGTTTGAAAAAATTTAGGAAAACCTGAAGCAGGATCCAAGTCAGGCCAATCCTATGGTTAAGCAAGTGCCAACAGCTTGGGTGGGCCTGAAAGTTGGGTAGGGGTGGGCCTGAAAGTTGGGTAGGGCTGGGCGGGGCCTCAAGGTGTCAGCAGGGCAGGGCTACCAGTGTGAGCCAGGTTGCTGGAGTCCCAGATATGTCGGCTGTCTGCCGCCCCAGGGAAGGGCTCAGCAAAGGAACAAAGGCCTCTGACAGCAAGTTTGTCCCAGAGAAAGCCCCCTCTCCAGCCCTCGCTCCAGTGCCAAACAGCTCTTCCCTGTATGTCTCTGGTTCCCCTCGAGCTGCCTCCCCTCCAAGCTTAGAGGGAGAGAGTCCGATAAGTCCGGGCCCTTTAAGGAGCTGCCTGGGGCTCCAGCCTCGTCAGCTTCCCTGAGCCTCATTTCCTGCTGGTTTTTCCAGCCAGAAGTTATGGGGATTCTCTTCCTGGCACTGGAACCCTGAGCGGGGCACCTGGTGTGGGACAGGGACCCCTCAGTCCTCAGGAAGGACCTTCCTAGCCGAGGTGTCCTCCTGATTTTTATCTGCCACACGTGGGTGTGGGACCAGCTCCTCACGCTGCCGCCCCTCCTAC